TGTCCACAACCACGTTGATAGGTACATTATTTACATGAGCAGTTGCGTGTAAAGCATTTGCAGAACTTACCCGACTTACAATTATTATTTCTGTCTCAGAGTTTTTTAGCTCTTGACCAATGTTAGATACGCCCACAGATTCAGTCGCTTGAGATGCAATTGCCTGCAGGTTACCCGATTTATCAAGGCTAGTCTATGTTTTAGTTAATCCCATACATGAAGAATCTGATTGACTCTGAACCCCTGATCTTAAAGTACCAATTGAAGATGGTTGGCCTGACTTAAAAGGAGGGTCGGGCAGCTGGCCATCGCCCCCAACCTCTATTCGTTTAAAGGCTCCTCCTCCTTACCCCCAACTTGTTTGATTTGCTTTTCATTAAGCAAGGGGCAATCTCTCTTGTAGTGGCCCGGGTCGTGGCACTCGTAACAGCCCTCCCCCCGTTAGCTAGATTTGCCACCCTTATTAGGTCTTCTCCCCACTTGCCTAACTTTACGGTAGGTATCTTCATCATCTTCCCCATCCTCTTCAGAAGCCGAAGATGATGAAGGCGAACGGCGAGAAGCAGCGGCAGATCGAACATGGGCCTTAACTACCTCCTTGGACGACCTACCCCTTCTCTTAACATACAACCCACTGAGGCTTACATACTGCTCGTATTCCCTTAATGCCTCAACCAAGGTTGCACAGTTCTTATGGAGAACATGCTTCCCCGCCTCAGAGTCCCTGCACCCCAAACAAAATCTTATAGCTGCCTGTCGCCTAATCCAAGATTTTGGAAGGCCACCAAAGGCCTTCCTTGTCATAGTGAGGACCCTATCTCCCCACTCATCTACTGTTTCGTCCTCCCGCTGGGAAGAGGCTTCTAATTTAGCCTGCAAAACTTCCGGAAGGTCATCCTCCTCATATCGCTTATCAAAGGCGCTCATGAGTTTGCGAAAGGAAATGTGTCTATCCATTTCTATCAGATTGACATAGAACTCGGCCGCACTCCCTTCCACACACCAACAGAGTGCATCCGTTCTTTCCTTTCCCGAAAGCTCCTGCTCCTCTGCGAACCTGAGGAACTGCTGTCTAAAAAAGGACCAGTTTTCCTTCCCTTTAAACGTCAAAGTCTTTGGGATATCTTTAGACTTAAATGACGTACCCCTTCGTTTGGATGGAACCCTCCTTTCAGTATGCCTTATAGTTCTCAAAAGTTTGGCATACCCCTGAGAATCATCAGATTCCCGCTCACTTTCCTCCCCAGAATTTAGGTCAACATCCCGACCACTATGTTCGTCACTATCACTGGAGTAATCGAGCTCCCGTCGGGTAGATGCGGATGCACCCCTAGATGACTTAGCTGCCCGGAATGATGTTCCCCCCGAACGGCTATTTCTACTGCCAGAAGGATTACTTTTAGTAGTGGAGGCTTCGAGGTTCTTACTGGAAACGAGATTTGACACTGAGTCAATCATTTTGGAAAAACCCCGACCCTCTAGCACTGGATTGGGAGTAAAGTCAAATTCCTTAATTAACTTAAAACCCCCTCCAATACCCTTAATGTCACTCAAACTCGTCGGGTAGATGTTACCATAACGGGACCTCCACAGGATAATCTTTTCCCCCCGTTTTTTACCAACATTAGGGATAGCGTAAAGATCCGTAACATCACAAAAGTTTATCCTAATTTTACCACCCCCCGACATTATGGGTCAAAGGTCAAATTCGAACAAAATGAAAGTAGTGATACTCTATAGAACAATTCGCACAGTGATCGAAAAATTCAAATAGTAAACAACTCTCAAGGTCAAAGTTCAAACAAGCACAACTTAAAAGAAGTAGTAAATAGTAGAATAAATCGCACAATGATCAAAATATTCAAACTAACACAACTATCAACTTTTAAAGTTAACAGTTAAACATGCATGCATGCAATTGAAAGTAACAATAATGAAATAGTCAAAAAATCCGTAGCGTTTAGCGAATAATTCAAACTAAAAAAACTATAACTCTCAAAAACAGCAAAAACAATATTCAATTAACGAACGTGGTTAGTGTTATTGGGAAATAGGTTTAAGTACGCAGTAAATACAACTACACCTATCCGAATCAACATTCACACAAGCAACAATGCAAACAAAGTTATATTCACCTGTGGATAAAAACCAGGTCGGTTAGAAAGAATATATAAATGAGGAATGCGTATTACACAACCATCGATCCTTACCTTAAGTAAGAAAACAAGGACTGCGCGTCATAAAAATGGCTGCACCTAAACACCACACCCTCTCCTAAACACTAAAGGGGTTATGCCTAACTAATACTCCTAAACTACAAAATACTTGTGTAGGTACTCGATAGTCCACACTCCCCCTAGTAAGACTTCCTCAAACCGGCCAAGAGTGTGCGATCTACAACACTTCCCTACACAAACCCTAACTGTCCTATTCTAAATTCCAGTACAATATCAGTACAAATGATCGTGAGTGACTCCAAACTCACAATCGGCGATATTGTACAATTAACAGCCTTTCGCTCGCAGCGCCAATATTGTGAAATCGCTAAATGTACTTGGTACTCACCGTTTACGGTATTGATTTCCCGCGTAGCAATTAAACAATCTGTGATTACACTGTCACAACTGAACTTGACTGGTCGAGCTCTGGACTTGAAGCGCTCTATCTTCCCGAGAACCTTGGGTCTGCCGGGTGTTGCACGTGTATTGGTAATATGCAAATGCGCTGACCCGAAGGTCGTAGTGCCTCAGTGGTCGGGCTACATTAACCCTGCGAGGGTCGTCACTACACTAGGTTAGGCCTAATTACAAACCACGAGGGTTGATTTTTCAGTTGGTTTTGTACAGATGGATAAAAAGAAATAAAAATATAATATAATAAATGTTTACTCACGAAAATATATTTTATTATTTATTAACGTATTTGCTAGCTGACTGTTTATCATTATGTGAAAATGCATGATGCGATCACGATGATCGACCGTCGGTGGCAGCAAACATTTACTTGATGTATCTTCTCCCCGACTTTTAGGCCAATCATATGTATGTTTCATGCTTCTCGTCAACACTTTTTAGAAATACAATGAGGTGCAGACATTTTTTATTTTTTTATTATATTTATTACAATAAGAATAGTTGTTTTTATCTTGGTTATATGTTGGTATTTATAGAGCACAATGAACGATATCTCACAACAGGATTCATATTCCGTATGAAATTAAATGTGATTACAAACAGGCCTAAAAGATATCATTACCTTGCCCATACATCAGTTCTTATTATAGTTGTGTTTTTAATGTCTTATTTTAATGTGTTAATTATTTTATATAGACATTATTGTTGTTAATTGTTTTATGTTCATTTTATGCGGGGAAATTGTTTGTCTAAGGGGCCACAGTGGAAATAAGTTTTTTAAATATTTTCTTGGGTTACCATTGTTCATAATCATTAATTTACTTGTTGGTTTTTGTTTGTATTAAGAAATTTGTGATTTTAATTCTTGAATAAAATGAAATGAAATGAAAAATTTGAAAAATAATTGTTTGCAATTATATGTTTTCCTAATGATTTCTGTTCTATTTATAAGTCGATCTATTGTTTGCAAAAATAATAACGATATTAAACTGTTAGCTACCAGAATGTTCACGAAGAAGGCGCGACGCCCGACCACGCCAATTGTGCTCATGCTGGGGACATGCTCTCCACGCCCGGGACAATGGACTGCCCGCCTCCCTAAAAAGGCTATATGAAAAATGAAACAAAGTGTTTAAATATAGGCCTTTATTATATAAAAATATATAAATATCAATTAAATATATATAATATTTATATAGGCCTATTTATATATTTTAATATATTAAAATTCTTTTTTCACTTGCTTTAGTAGTCAATTTCGCCTAATCCGTGCACTGTTCCCTGGTTTAACGAATATGCTGAAACATAATTGATTTTTTAAATTTCAATTGATTTTTTTTATTTCAATCATTTCGTTTATTTTGTCTCAACACACAAAACAGTTTCAAACTCAGGAAGACAGGATAACCAAAAGTATACTAAAATACTGTCAAGTGGCTCTCCAAACACCTGTCTCTTATACACATCTAGATGTGTATAAGAGACAGCCCCTGAATTGGCCTACATGCCAACAATTAAAGAACATAAGCTATTTATAATGATGTAGCTGGGCATGTATTTTATGGTGATAATTAAAAGATGAAAAATAGTGAAAGTTTAACATTGTTCTGTGTATATCATTTGAATTTCTTTTTATGACCTGAGTCATTATGGTAATTAGATGTAAAGCTATGACCTGGGTCATTATGGTAATTAGATGTAAAGCTATAATTTGGATTTCTAATTACAGTAGGCCTACCTTATGATTAGAACGCAACTTGCCTCTTTAAATCATTGTGTAGCTGATGAGTTATCTATTATTTGTGGAGTAAACGGTACCCCAATGCTCAGTGATTGAACCCACATTATTTTATTTTAAACAAATTATGTCATCAATCATAGGCATTAGAATCAACTTCCTCGATATTCGCAAAATAGTTGAAGAAAACATTTTAATACAATGCTTAAAAAACATTTACTTGAAGAGTATATTGCTGGATGATTTTTATTCTTATTCAATTCACTTGAAAAAAATTTTTTGAATACAGTAGGTCTAATTTTATTATTATTATTATTATTATTATTATTATTATTATTATTATTATTATTATCATTATTATTATTATTATTACTGTATTTATTATTATTATTATTATTTATTATTATTATTTATTATTATTATTATTACTATTATTATTATTATTATTATTACTATTATTATTATTACTATAGTTATTATTTATTATTATTATTATTATTATTATTATTATTATTATTATTATTATTATTCATGACCAAGCTGCAATTCCTTCTAGCAGTCAGTTGATAATATTTTATTTATAAAACATATAATATGTTTTATATATTTTTTGTACTACTATTGTAAAAGGGGTTAAATGTGATAAGAGAAATCTTATTTTTAACCTCCTAATTGCCATGTGTATTTGCTTGATTTATCTTGTATTCGTTTTTGAAATGTGGCAATTCATGTGAATGAATACAAATTCTTAATATCACATGGGGGAGGGGTGTAACTATTAACTAACACCCTTTTACTCTTTTCCACATTTTTGAAATATTCCAATTTCTTCAAATATTCCTTTTGTGGCTTAGTAAATTCAGTTGCACAACATATCAAAACAAATTTTTACTCCGGAGCCTGGCCTTATAATATCTTTTTCGTGTGGGTGTGTGTGTGGATGTGGGTGTGTGTGTGTGTGTGTGTGTGTGTGTGGTTGTGGGTGGGTGGGTGTGTGCAGACATAGTGTAGGCATGGAGGAGAACCGGATGGATGCTTGAGAGTTAAGCTTTCAATCAGGCCATACTCTAATTTTTTTTAATAAAATGTTGCGTCAAAGGGACAATTTTGGCATACAAACGACATTGGTGAAATATTGGTCCGGCAAAAACCGGACAAGCCAAACCACTTCTTACGGCCTCGTAATGGTATTCTTAAATCAAATGTAATCAGAATTTAGCGTGCACAAAACAAAATATCTGGGTAAAGGTCAAAGATATCATCTTATTTTTTAAAAATCTTTATTTAGTAGGCTTTCTAAATGTTGAATATCATTTAAAGCAATACAACTAAATCGTTATATTTAATATATACCATGGTATTGCACCAGAAGTGAAAACAAATGCTGGCCCACCATCATCATCATCATCATTGTAATCATCATGATTGTCAACATCATCACCATCATTATCATCGTAATCATCATGATTGTCAACATCATCACCATCATCCATTTATTCCAAATGAGGCTATAGAGGGGGATTTTTTAGAGGCCTTTTTAGAAGGGAAGTTTATTCAAATCACGGTGTTTATTCAAGTGAATTCGTTAACGGTATATGTTTTTTTAACAAGTTGTTGGCATGTGTTTAAAAAACGATACTTGCAGAACGATTTTTAATGTCAATATCTCTATGTACATTTCTGTTAAAGTCGTCTATAGGGGTGATTTGAATGAACGCCAAACAAAAAATCCCTCCAAATCCCTGGAAAGTATGGCTATGGATTTAAAAACCTTATTTAATCAGATTAAGAGTTGAACAATAAAATTTCCTGCGACTAATGGTGCCTTTTGCTTCTCGAAGGGTAGTGAGGGGAGGGGGGAGTCCTCACATCCTGGCCCCTGTGGTACAACCCCTGCTAGCCTAACCGGGCAAGTATAAACGTCCCTCAAAAATGCTCCCTCATATCTACAGATTGGCTAGCAACACAGTTAAAAAAAAAAACACCAACACATACAACACAATAATAATCATTAATTCATCAATCAATTTACCAATTTACATTTTATTTAAAAACTTGCATTTTGCAGAAATAAAACCTAATTATGTAATTGACAAATTGGATAGACGGAAAGAAAAACCTCAATAGATAAAAATGATAAAAAATTCAAATCGACCATTTCAAAAAATAATACAAGTCAGGCCACGCTGGTCCCCAGGGGTAAATTTTCCAATTAGAATGAGGACAAATAAAGAATTATTAATAAAATAATCTTGAAAATACTATACATACAATAACTAACAAGGCAAGCATTTGTGATATCAACAATGTTTATGTACCTTTATAGTTTGAAAAAGGGACAAGGATATGACCCTGTCTCTTATACACATCTTTAAATGTGATTACAAACAGGCCTAAAAGATATCATTACCTTGCCCATACATCAGTTCTTATTATAGTTGTGTTTTTAATGTCTTATTTTAATGTGTTAATTATTTTATATAGACATTATTGTTGTTAATTGTTTTATGTTCATTTTATGCGGGGAAATTGTTTGTCTAAGGGGCCACAGTGGAAATAAGTTTTTTAAATATTTTCTTGGGTTACCATTGTTCATAATCATTAATTTACTTGTTGTTGGTTTTTGTTTGTATTAAGAAATTTGTGATTTTAATTCTTGAATAAAATGAAATGAAATGAAAAATTTGAAAAATAATTGTTTGCAATTATATGTTTTCCTAATGATTTCTGTTCTATTTATAAGTCGATCTATTGTTTGCAATAATAATAACGATATTAAACTGTTAGCTACCAGAATGTTCACGAAGAAGGCGCGACGCCCGACCACGCCAATTGTGCTCTTGCTGGGGACATGCTCTCCACGCCCGGGACAATGGACTGCCCGTCTCCCTAAAAAGGCTATATGAAAAATGAAACAAAGTGTTTAAATATAGGCCTTTATTATATAAAAATATATAAATATCAATTAAATATATATTTTCGGAAAATAATGGTTGATTTTCCACACAGATTTTGCCAAATATTAGGCCTTGACCTAATCTTAATATATAAACAATGTATTATGCAGTAATTACGATTCTGCACATCTATTTTTCTTGCGATTTCCCATGCGGCAAATTTGAGCTGGTGTTTGAAGTATCATCTCATAATTACAAAACTTTGGCCCAGGCATAATAAACAACGCCCTCAAACATGTAACCAAAATATTTCAATAAATGAAGGTATTTTTCTTAATTCTTAAGATATGACATTCTAAAATATTTTTAAAAATCTTATTTAAAAAAACTTGTTTGGCCTTTCAGTATCAAAATTAGCTTATTTAGCTGGTTAAAAAAATATACTATCTTTATATAAATATGAGAAAGTGTTTATTATTATGTATAATTGCATTATATATATAATGTAAAGCGCTTAGAAACCTTGTGGTGTTAAATGCTATGTAAGTCTAACATATAATTATTATTATTATAAATGCATTGTTGTGATATAAAAACAAAATGTATCATATAATTAATGTAAAGCAACTTGGCTGTCCCAAAAATACATTCTATGTTTAAAGAATATAAAAGCACAGTATATATTTGTATAATACTCTTATATTTACCAAATGTACAATATTAAATTATGTATTTCCTATATATACTGTATTATATTATCATTTACTTCCTATATAACATATCAAATCATCATGTCATTATTTGCCATATGATACACTGTGGCATTAAACTCTATTGAGTGTCGTAATCGCAGTGGTGGGGGCAGGAAATGTACAATATTAAATTATGTATTTTCTATATATACTGTATATTATCATTTACTCCCTATATATCATATTAAATCTTGTGTCATTATTTGCCCTATGATACACTGTGGCATTAAACTCTATTGAGTGTTGTAATCGCAGTGGTGCGGGTGGGGGAATTTATCCCTGGCCTAATCAATGTCTATTTGTCTTTTGAAATTGTCAGTACCAATGTGTAGCTATGTTCTGTCATTATTCTTTATGAGTTTCCTGGTAGTACTTCCGTAGTTTTTTAACGACTGCCTTTTTTCTAAGTTTTTCCAATACATCACTCATCTTTACAAGGTAGTTTACTTCAGTGTTTTGCCTTTCTCGCCACATAACCAGCATTTCCAACCTTGCATCCACAGTTGGTGGTGAAAAGTCCAGCTCATCTTTATATTTCAGGTTTCTTTAGACCAATGATGATGCCATAGGATTTCCAATCCTTTAAAAGCTCCTCTGCAATGAATTGCATATCAATGTCTCATAAGAATCCTAAACGAAAAGAAAAGACATCAATATTAAAACACTTTCAGAACATTGTGGACTTCACAGTTCGGCCAATACAAAGGTTAGTAAAATGTGTCCTGTCTATACACCATTTTATTGGGAATATTTTGAAAAAGCGAAATCTATGTAAACAGAAAACAGATGACGGAATCAATTGAAAGCGATACTGAGGACGTATCGTAATACAGTATCGATCTGATGTTCCAACATGAAACATTCTAAAAATTTCATTTAAAAAATACATTTAAATAATAATAGACAAGTTGAGTGACTGAGTGGTAAAGCAGGGGCTTTGCTAAGTACAGCCTTAACATTGGTGCTGGATGGGTCACTCCTTGCCCAGGGTTCAGTTGGTAGCACCAAGTTTTCTCAAATATGGAATGAAAACCAGAGGTCCACTGTATTGGCTTGTGTTCACTTTAAAGAAACACTGCATTTTTTAGAACAGTATGGGGTTACCCCGATGCTATGCTTTATTTCATCCCTTGCCTTTGTGGAATGATGAAAACATGAACCTACTACCAATCTACGATGGCTAAACAGTCACAAATAACGCCCATATGCACTTCAGCACAATGACATTGCAAGTTATGGGTTATTCTGCTACTTTACATTTAACATATCATATCATATTACCAACCTTTGCATTACTGGTGCACTTGATGTAATCGTCCACTAGCAAGTACTCTAACTGCTTTTAAACTGGATGGTTGATCTTCTGATAACTCTGAGCTGAAGTCCTTGTTAGCAAGTTTTCTGAGTTCTTGCTTCTTCCAAGCCCTGCACATTTATTTCAACTTTATTTTTCTCAGTAAGCTTAGCCTTTTTCTGCTTTTCGGTGTAGCCTGATATCGTATTAAAAATCGTTTGTTCGTTTTGATAGCAATTGTTTGTTCGTTTTGATAGCAATTCATAAAACAATAAACTGCATTGTTGTTTGTTGTGTCAAGACAACATGACATCAAATGGGCCATGCAGACTATTGTTAATGTACGCAATAGTAATGATATATCTGGTATTTGGTAAATTGTTCTCAAATATTTTCACAATATTATTTTGTTAATGCCACAATCTCTGTTTAGTCCATACCCGATAGGTACAGTACATGTATCACTAATTCATTGATTCAAGTTCTTTCAAGTTCTTTATGCATGTTGGTAGTATGCTGTCTCTTATACACATCTAGATGTGTATAAGAGACAGATATTATCATTTACTCCCTATATATCATATTAAATCTTGTGTCATTATTAGCACAGCAGTCGGACCGCTTCTTTCCTTGCATGGTATTATGCAATATAAAATATGTATGTATATTTCTTCCTGACTACTGTTTATAAATTTCAAAAATCATCACATTACTACACTGTTTACATTTACCAATAATTTTATTTCTATTTTCTCCTCCATTTACATGTTTTTTGCAAAACTACTTGCTAAATAAAGAAAACTAAATTTTATTTTTTACCCGCCCTCCTGTGACGAAAAAAAAAAAAGTTTGCGAAACAATGTATAAAAAAAAAGTCTTATCATATATTGTCCTTGTGGAAAAGTTGATGTAAATTGATCCAGTAGCTTTTGAGTTATGCACCCGGAAGAGGACACACACACACACACACCACATCAAACACACACACACACACACATAACGCATAATATTCCCATACCCTTCATCTCTCCTTTGGGTAAAAATAAATAATAAAATATCCTGGATACATGTTAAAAGTACAGTAAATAAAAAAAATAATGGCTTTTTTGAAAGATAGCATATAATCCCCATAAAAGATGAAACCTAAGCACAGTACTTTTAAATGCATTGAACCTCAAGTCTGTTAATGCTGAAAAAAACAAGCTTGCTCAATTCAAATGTTTGACTCGCTCTTAAAACCACATCTGATTGCTGTTACCGAGACTTGGCTTAATTCGGATGTAGCAGATGTTGAAATGTTACATGACAGTTACACCATACACTGTAGGCACAGAATTAATCGTCAGGATGGTGGGGTACTTTTAGTTGTTGATCACACGATTTCATCAATAGACGAAAAGATCTTGAACCAAACATTAGTGAAATTTTGCTCCGGGAAATTCATCCACCATTCTTCAGGAAATTTGCAGTTGTGTTATGTAAATAATAATAAAATAATGTTTAATATTTTGTATCAAATTGATATTCACCAACCTCCTACTAGTCTATGTTGTGTTGAAAGTTTAGGTTGATTTGCAGCAGCGTCGAGGTCGTCTTTGTAGCCACGCCTTTTACACAATCGTTCCGCAACTTGTACAAGTCCCTGTTCTTTCAACGCGTTGAGCATGATTGGCATTTGGTTCATTGATTGGCCATCTCTCCAAGTCACCAGGGTTTCCATGATGCCATCTTTCAGTGTGTTGTTGTCTGCTATGACATTAATCTTGTTCCATTCAAGTCCAAGTCGCACTCCTAGCCTCCTCCAATCAGAGCCCAGATCTTCACAGATGAACAGCAGGTCTTGGTCATCAAGGGATGCTGGTTAATTAATGACGATATGAAAGAAATTAAAAGATTTAATTATGATTTCTGATAAAATACGGAAACATTTAGAAAATCCAATCCATTATTTTAAAGCACCAACAAATAAGTTTTCACAGATCTGTTGACATTTTACTACAATAAAATAAGCTAATTTATTGTTACAACCGTACATGCTCCTATCAAAATCAATCGATATAAACACACAACATAATATTATGTTGATTGACCTCGGCTGACCTTGGATATGAGCAAGTGCAGTTCCAACCATAAATTAACCTATTGTTAGCAGGCAATTTGAAGGTCTATGCTAAGGAAGTAGGAATTTTTCATGCTGCATTTTTGGCCATTAACAGAACTGGTCCATGGCACCGGCTTTTGGAAAAAACCTGGGTTATAAATCCTGCTGGTTTGTTGAATAGCGATGGGTTCTTAAATTATTTATTGCCACGCCCATGAGATGAAGTGAGTGATTGGAATAGGTTTCTTGTTTACATTCCAATGGCTATATGTTGCTGGCCAGGACTCTCTTGTTAACTCCCAATGGACATTCTTAAAACCAATTAAAGTTAAGTTATGGAGCTGCTAGCAGCTCTCTCTGGACCATTTGACAGCTCACTCTCAACTATCAGACAGCTCACTATGGACCATTTCTGCTAACGGGGACTTTTGCCTCATGTTTTCACCAACCTCCTACTAGTCTATGTTCTGTTGAAACTTGAGGTTGATTTGCAGCAGCGTCATGGTCATCTTTGTAGCCACGCCTTTCACACAATCGTTCCGCAAGTTGAACAAGTCCCTGTTCTCTCAATGCGTTGAGCATGATTGGCATTTGGTTTGTTGATTGACCATCTCTCCAAGTCACCAGGGTTTCCATGACGCCATCTTTCAGTGTGTTGTTGTCTGCTATGCCATTAATCTTGTTCCACTCAAGTCCAAGTCGCACTCCTAGTCTCCTCCAATCAGAGGGCAGACCTTCACAAATGAACAGCAGGTCTTTGTCATCAAGGGATGCTGGTTGATCAATAAGGAAATGAAAGAAATTGGAAGATTTATTAATGGTAAATCCAAGTCACTATTTAAAAGTATCAACAAATAGGTTTTCAGACCTAATGAAGATTTACTACAATAATCTGTAAATTCCATTAGCAGGCATTTAAAGTTATATGCTAAAGAATTATTTTGTTATTAATACTTTGCCACGGAAACCTTCCACAAATGTAAAGAATGTAGGAATGTTTTTTTGGATTTTTTAATTTTTTTTGGATTTGATTTATTCGGTGTAAACACCAAGGATAGCCCACGAAAGTCTGGCAGAAGACTTATTTCCAGTGGGGTCCTACTGGAGGTGATTGGGCAGTACATCGCGAGACAATCCCATCCTCTTTTCCGAATAGTGTACTGCGTTATTTAACGTGCACATGGGCCATAATGAACACGGAACCAACAACTTAAACGGTGCGCTTTTGTAACTTGTATTTCAGCCCTCTAGCTGAAACACAAGGAGAGGCAGCGATGGGAATTGAACCGGGGACCTAGAGATCTCCACGGTTCAGCGCACACAAAGCGGCTACCATCAGATTAGCCGACTGAGCTAAGCTGCTCTCTGTTATATGCAGCACACTCATTACCTGGCCAGAAAATGTTTTCCTCATTTTAATTAAAGCTAAAAATACGGGTTTTTGTCATTGTCCATATTGTGATATGGTGTGACTGACTGTATTTTAGATAATGTTAATTAAATAAATATTTTATCATGAATAGTGCATTACTAACCATCATATTCATGGTGTGTTGTGGGTAATCTGCCCCTGGTATCTTCACCTGCATTTACACTGGATTCTTTAACCTCTGACATTTGAGAGCCAAAGATTTTGTTAGCAAGCTCTGTGAGTCCTTGCTCCTTCAAAACTCTGCACATTATCTCCACTTGATTTGTCTCGTAGTTCTGTTGTTTCCTCCATTCTGTAAGCATATCCATTATGGAGTCGAATCGTCTGTTATCATTCCATATTTGTTGAATCCTGTTCCAACTGAGACCCAGCCTGACACCCAGTTGTTTACATTCCCGTCCCATGTCTTTGGCGATAAGAGCCAGGTGCTTATCTTCCAGATAACCAAGATGTTCATCTAAGTGAAAATTAAAGTAGACCAGATACAATAAAACAATTGGAATAATAATATTACTGTAATAAAAATAATATAATATCTATAATAAATCAATAAATTAAAAAATAATTATAATAATAATAATAATAATAAATGCTGTAGGCCAGTATATCTCTTTTTAAAATCTAGATAATTTCATGAAACACAAAATACTGTAGTAACAACACATTGTTCGTACACTTTTAAACAAGCAAATTTCCAAGACATTCCAGGTCAAATTTTACAAATTTCACCCTCATGGGAAATTATATTTTTGTCAAACATGTAAAAATTTGTTGGTAAGCAAATGAATTCATTCCCACAAGTATAGAAAAGTAAAGGTAAATTATTAGGCAGAGAGGTTCACCTACAATTGAACTGGAGTAAAATACTCTGATAAGTAACACAAATGTAAACGTACAACAATGGTCTTATCTTATCCCTTAAACGTGTCAGTGCCTTTTGTGGCACCGACACCAAAATAACTCAGTGGTGCTGCGGGGTGGATTACACGCCTGTCCAGGGTTGTTGTTCAGCGAATGTTAACTGTCTCAGCTGTGGTGAAGTTGACATAATATGGATATATAGTAAACAAAATAGCCTTCTTCGATGAGTGTACGTTGGGGACGTTAAATTATTTTATTTCATATATTTAGGTGTTTATACATGTTTAAACTTGTACCAACTAATGATGTACCGTATTATTAATTAATCTAATTAATGGTTATGCTCTAATAGTTCTCTACACATCATCATACTGCTATATTATTATTTTTTATTATTCATACTACTGTATTGGGACTATAATTATTATTGATATTAGGTCTATTATTATTAGGCCTTAGTTGTTAATTGTATTTGGACATTTATAATGCTGTAGGCATACATAAACTTTTATAATCTACTATACAGCAAATGTTAATGTAAAACAGGGTTCTCACCATCCTACCGGCACTGATAGGCTGCCAACCGGCATTGTTTTTTCAATGATTTTGTAAATTTCAGAAACATAATTAACGAAATACCTTGCTCTAAAATCAAGGACTTTTAAATATAAATGCCTTTAAACACAAACGCCATATGGTGTAAGAAAATAACTGTAGAAGTACACGTTCCCATGGTTACATTAATTGTTACTTAACTGCCTGGCACTTGCACTGGATAGGGCCAAAACATGTCCATTGGTGCAGAACAAGTGTGCACCTCTAGTGATGAATTACACAAAGCCATTTACAGGGCTGAGCATGAGCGACATGACATGTTGAACTGAAGTTTAAGTTTAATATTACTGTTTATAAGACACAGAAAGCAAATAAAAACACCATAGCAGATATCAACAAAGTTAATAATTCCATCAATGTCTTAATTAAAATTACATGCAAACATATCAGTATACAAGACTATTAGGAAAGCACCGCTTTACTAAAATATAGGCAAACAACTCCATTCACTGAATCGCAGAAGTTTGTCTGAACCACTGCCACATTCAGCATTTGACATTCTTTCTGTCTTCAATATTCCTGAATTTGTGGCGTACAAAGACTTGACACACTTTTCCAATAATATCATGGGAGCCTACTCGGCCTACCGTTACTAGGCAACCTGCAGTACTGGATGGTAAATGGTCAAATTTCCAGGACATAAAAGGGCAATCATAATTTCCAGGACTAGCTTTCCAGTACTGGAAAATGCTCATTTGTTTTTCAGGACATTCAAGGAATTTAAGGACGCGTACGAACCCTGATAACATCTAAAACACTAACCTGGTGGCGCTGTTTCAGTAACACTGGAACCTGCTAATTGCATTGGAGAATCTACAACAAATAAATTGTTAAAACCATAAATAAAAAATCAAATTATTAAAACTGACTGCTGTCTATCACCATCAAATATTGGATCAGGATCAAATCAGTTTATATAAATCAATGGTGTATTTATACTATATCACAGGTGGGCATGGGTCATATACTGCTTACGATTTTCTTGCTGCCCTCGAATATATATTAAAAAGCTATGTGTGCAGCCAACCCTCTTTGGCTAAAAAACCCTGTGTTGGAATGGACCGATAATAACCTGAAAAAGTAATAATAAAATGGAACCCCTCTGGAAATAAATCTGTGTTAGGATTTTGAGGGTTATCAATGAAATTATAACTTTATGATATCAAATAAAATCAAATCAAAACTGGCATTAAGGTAAAAGTACTAGTAGTAAATGAATGTATATTCACTTTGGCCCTCTGACGATTTTTATGTCCATCTCTTATTACTGGATAATGCTTTCCCCTCTTTGCTTTGCACTGATGAGTACCAATCCAGGTACAGATTCAATAATGAAACAATGATTTCCAAGGAGTAATTTGAAAATTTGAAAATGTAAATTATAAATTATTATTAAAAGAAAAATATGAAAAACTTTATTAAAATATGTTTTAACCCTCTCAATAATTGTATGGTACAGCGGCTCATCGTAGAAAAATAAAAAAGATCTAGACCATGTAGTCAAGATCGCCTCTTGTATTAACTGTATTGACCAGCGTTCAGTCAACAAGATCTAGCAAGACAGACTTTTAGTGTATAAATATGTTATTATTATTATTATTATTATTATTATTATTATAGGTGTGCACAGTTTGTGTATGTATTTGTTTTTGATTTAAAAAAAAATGCTTGATTTACCTGTCACTAGTTGCCTATTCTTGAACATTCTCTGAAGTTTGGCTGTGGTTATCAATACCTTCCCACATAGGATACAGTCATTTTCCAGACACTCTTCTAAATCGTGGAAGTGCATTTCTTGCAAGTTTACCCAGCACAGGACACGGAACTTATAACGTGTGTGCTTCATTCCAGACGTCAGTACTTTCATTTCTTTCTTCAGAAACTCTAACACCTTAAATGAAGATTTTTAATACAAAATAAAAATTAAAGTTGAAAACATTACAAAAATATAAGAAAATGAATCATACTATATTAGAGAAGCACCACCAAAAAATGATTTATGATTTCAATTTTGAATTGTTAGATTTTATATGATTTAATTGATTTCATGATGCTCAATGAAACAATGACGCAATAGTGCTGTTGCTTTTGCCATCAGAATTTTTGCTATTTATATCGTCATCAATATTATAGTCATTACCATTCTCTTTGGCCAATTTTCTTCCATTATTATCAAAATTGTTTTATTTTTAAAAGTTGTATACATTTTTTTATTATGTTATTATAAGAATTCATCTTTTTATTGGTTTAATGTTTCATATGGAAATGTCTTTTTCAAACTTATTCTTCATTTTGTCAGTATATTTCTTCTACTTTTTCTGTGTATTTTAAATTTGTTTGCTGAGGATCTCTAAATATTAGCTTTCCATTAATGGTGGGCTGCACAGGCTATCCTCATTAAATAAAGTCCCAACAAATATATAAATAAACAAGAAAACAGACAACACATTATCTGTCATTAAATAAAGTTCCAACAAAATATATAAATAAACAGAAAACAGACAATACACTACTAGCTGTCCAGATCACAAAAAAGCATATCTGTATATTAAATATTTGGATTGCACTTGTACTATGTTCATCCAAGCACAGTAGAATATATATTACTCATACACTCTACCCAGATAAATCTACTTATGATTATCTCCAGGTAATATCACTAATAATGAACATCACCATTGCTGTGTGTAATTTTACAGCTATTTCAATTGCAAGATTTCAAATATCAAACTAGATTACCTGCATACAGACTCTAGGATGTCTCTTATGGTACCATCCTCCTGAATGATAGGCACCCGTAATATTTCCAGCTAAAATACAAACATTAAATCAATCAATAATTCCATGCATGCCCGAAATATATCAATACATTAAGTGAACAATCAAATCCTTTATTTAAATTTTATCCTAATTCAACTGCAAGCTACTTGCCACTTTTTTTTTTTTGTAAATCATGGATCCAACAAAAACAGTTTGTGTGGGGGCATGCAAAATGTGAAGCACTGAGCAGGGGAAGGGAGTTGGGGATGGTGTTGAATTTTTGTCTATAAATGCTTGACAATGGTACATGGAATCTGAATATAAAAATAGCTGTTTTGGCGTATCATGGGCTCTTTCTCCTCTAACTTTACTCTTTTTCATTTTTTTTTTTTTTTTGGTTGGTGGGAGGAACATGTCACCTGGATCTGTCCTGTAATACCCTCCTAACACTACTTTTGTAAGAATAAAGTAAGGAGCATTATTCCTTATTCACCTATCTCTCAGCTGTTACCGTAACAATTTTTTTCTATTCATTACAATAACAACAATTAAAAACCATACAAGTGTGTGACATTCAAATAACTCTTAGAAAGATACTTTTACTTTTATCACTCTTGTCTTGATTTTGATTTTCACTTCATTGCCTATCACTCCAATGGTTAGTAACTAAATGACATCTCTTAACATCTTACCTTCAATGAGGGCTTGTTATTAATGACTACTGGTCCTAAGCTGAGAGTGTGTTCAAGTCCTAGGTGGATGTTAGCATAGTTGCTAAATAATTGCAGCATGGCTGTGTAGCCCATGTCTTGTACCATTCCAATCAAGCTCACAACCAGAGGATGGAAGACACTATCAGGGATGAAATCCTCGGAGGCCATATAGATAGATACCATCTGAGCTGTATCATGTTCAATAGACACATTGTCTTTGCTCCGTTTCAATCGACAGGGAACAAAAAACGAGCGATGTTTGCTTTCCTGATTCTTGTGAAAAAAACAAATGAATTCAATAAAAAGATAGAAAATACCAGAAAAATGTACATCTTACATTACCAGTTTTTTAAATAATCAAATGTTCTGCAATCCAAATGGCATGTGAGGTAGAGTAAGATTAACATTCTTAAAATAATTTAAACTCTCTTTTTTTTGTAAATAATTTGCTGAATTTCATTTTACAATGAAAAGATGGAATAAGTCACCATTTATGTCTGCATTTCTTTGCCTTTAAAAAAAATCTATATTAATTTATTTTTTAATAGATTCGTATTAGGATTGATTGCACTGTATATTAAGTTAGTTGAGGGGCAGGTCAATTTATCATTAACTACTATAGCTGAATGGCTAGTGACTATCTGAACTCTCCAAGTATTTGCCAACAGAAAAAACACAAAAGAAAAAAAGCAATACCTTGATTTTCTCACAGAGCAGTCCAAACTGCTTCATTAACTCCAAGAAGACCTCAAAGCTAGATTCATCTTTGCTAATCTCAAAAATGATTCCAAGATCATGTAGGTAGTTGAGGGTGTGGATCAGATTCTTCACGGAAATTCCACAGCTAGTGGCGACTTCACAGACCTTAACATATATTTCAAAATGTATAATATTATTAAAAATAAAATGTGGAAGTGTAAATAGAACACTATTGCCAACCATTAAAAGAGTAAGTTTGGGGAAATTAAGATGCATTTTTCTTGGATGGATACTAAATGGAGGGTCTTTTGGATGGGGGACATGGAAGGAGTTGGGGTTAAGTATTAAACAATTCTTTCTAATGTTTATAAACATTTTAGGCAATGATTACATACCTTAGAATAACTCATTCGCAGTGTTGTCCTACCATTCTCCTGCAAAATATACTGGAATTCAAGCCATTTCAGTGGGATGGTTTTGGGCATTGCTTTCAGAAATCTACCAACATCTTGTTTAAGTGTTGTCAGCATTTTGCTTTGTGTTGGAAACTTGTTGTCGATGGCATACATTTTCCTCACCACGTGACATTCATAAGGAGTGCCTTTGATTTCTTCAAATATTATTGCAAACTGTTCTTCAATCTGAATAATTATATACAAGCATTACACATTGTTCAAATTGTTAATAATTAATAAACTACTGTATGTCCTTAAGTTCAGATTACTTTTTACCTTCTTGTTCTTGTCTTCATCGGTCCCAGGTAGGCTCTCACTGTGGGTACCAACTACTGCAATTTGAGGTTTCTTGGTTTGTAGCTGCTGCTGCAGTGACTCAACTGGGACAGCGTACGTAAATATCAACCTCATCCAGTATTTGATGATCTGTATATTTGTCATATCGTATGTCATCACATTTTTGTCCTGAACAGTAAAGAAAATGACAAAATATTTATCAAGCATGAATGACATTCAGAACTCAACAATGTCATTAAGACATATACATGAAATCTGTTTCGTAAATATTTCATTATAGTAAAATGATAAGAATTGGTAGACTTACCCCCTTATGGATTCTTTTCTTCCCTTTGTCGTACATACTTTCCAGCAAATTGAACAAAACCACATACACTGCTTCGCTTGTTAAGAATATCTAAAATAAAATGTGATAATTGATAAAAAGTTAACACATAATAATTAAGTTAATTGATGATCTAGATTATCTTTTAATTATTAAATTTAACGATTCAGTTTACCAATTTTATCATTGAGGCCTATAAGGCAACCCGCATATGAAACAACCCCAAGTTTGAGTAGCTGTTTCGACGATTTTCTGTATTTTGGGCGGATAAGATGACCCCCTGTTTCAATGATGGAATCCATAATTTTTTATCTGCTCTTTATGGTCTTTATTCTGCATCTGCTGACTACAAACGGAGACAAAATTTAGGCTAATTTTCAAAATAATACAATTTTATGGGCTTTTAATCAAATTACGTTCATTCATGCTAACATTTATTAGGTTCACTGCAGTAGTGAATTGGCATGTTGCGGATGATCCTCACATACAGCAAGGAGGTATAAACATTTTTTATGCCTCCTTGCATATACAGTAAGACAAACATGATTTCAAAAATCTATTACTTTGTATGTCGTGTATATAAGATGACCCCCTGTTTTTCGATGTTAATTTGCTTTTTGAAGCCTTGTCTTACATGTGAGAATGTACGGTGAAATATCTAGAACTACTTTTCTATATTCATGATGATCTAAATTTATCTTTCAATGACATTTTGTACCTTTTTAGAAATCACATACGTTCATATGCCACTTTGTCGAAGTTGGAATGCAGCAGTGTTGTAGGAGAGTTCCCAAGACTCCCAGAACTTATGGGAGTCTCCCAGAGATCAGAATGGCCTCCCGCACTACTTTCGACAAATTCATAATTTTATATGTTTTCATTGCTTTATTATCAATTTTATCATTGAAGTCAGTATATGTCCAGCAAAATATAAGTAAATGTGTTAAGAAATCTCATTAACCAGATCAGTGGCAGGTTCAAGGGTAGGTGGAGTGGGGAGGGTAGAAAAGAAAATTATATTCAAATTTACGTCTGAGAGGGCCATTTCCAGCAATCTAGAGGTGCCATAATCATAAATCTGTGAAAGTCCCTCCCTGAACTCATGTGTCATTACATAACATAGATAATAAATATTCTTAAAGTACTTACTCGATGTGTGATGTAGTACAGCTGCTGGCCAGCAAAGTCCCAGATATAAGTCATATCTTTGTTATCAATGGCCTGTGAGGTCTTTCCAGTAATTCTATCAACAAGTCTTTCCTGAATTTCAGATGGAAGTGCTTGGCTTGATACTGATTAAATAAATTCAAATATTAGCAAGGTTGGTAACAATATAATTAGGATAATAATTTGAAAGTAATGACCACAGTATTGAAAATAATAGTCAGACAATAAGTTTATCCATAAACCGAAAGGTCCACTGATTAATCTCAGATAAGAAAGTATAATACATACTCCAAGTATTGAAATACACGCCATCGTGTTGGGATTCAATATTTCGACATTAATTATGTCATCATCAGGAATGAAAAAATTATCCATATTAGCAAGCTTATATGCACTAGTACCAAAAGTGTTAACCAATCAAAACATTACCTCTAGTAGGTGACATAGCCGTGATTTAAACAAAAGATCAAAGCACTCTTACTCTAATGATCAAAGCTACCTACAAAAACAAAGAAAGCTCTTTTGGAGCTCTGAGCCCATTGGGCTCTGAGCTAGAGGTAATGTTTTGATTGTTTTGAAATATATTATATAAAGCATACAATGGGGATAAAACTTGAAAGTAATGATAATATTACTATGATGGCAACAGCGTTAAAATTATTAAACAATTTTCTTTGAATAATCTTAGAGATTATATTTTTAAATTAAAGTTAATCTATGATCTCACTTTCAAATGTTGTAACAATAACAATTACGGTTTATTATCATTATGGTTAAAGATATGATAAAAATATGAATAAAATATCCAATTATGTATATTTCTTTGAATATTGATTAAATAATAACAACCTTCTTTGTGTTCTGTTTTTATTGGTCCTGACATCAAATCATACTGTGTATAAAAATATAAATAAAACAATTAATAACACATTGTTGAATACAAAAATATAAAGGATTGACATTTCAGCTCAATCATGGACAAATTCTCAAGATCAAGTGAACTAAAAACATAAAACAATCCAAATATAGGTAACAGGGAGGTTACAAACATTTACCTGATTAACTGCTACATTTACATAAAACTAGAGCAAGTTAGCTTAATCATGAAATGATTAAATGATGATAGAATAATTTACTATTATATTCAATACACAATTAGCATATTTAATTAATAAATTTTACTTCAAATACCAAGTTAAGGTGTGCTCTGTGAGACATATCCAAACAGGAATTTGAATAGAATTGTGGAAAATGAGTCTGGCTTTTGTTTACTCAGTGTTTTCTGACACTTTTTCATACCCTAAATGTTTTGATATTGTTCTATTTTTTAAGTATGTCCTATCATAATTTTGTGTGCCACTGTTACAAGAGTTCATATGGAATAAATTTGACTTTAATTGATGATGTGCTTAACTTCCTTTTTAATTGATATCTTGCTATAAATTTGAATGGTACAAATTCAAACTTAGCACAAGATTCAAAGTTTTTCACCAACTTGCTCAAAGTTCTATGTGAATGGCACTACTGTTCAAGTTCAAAAGTACATTCATTCATAGTGGTCAACATACAGATACATAAATTATACATACTGTAAGTAAACACAACTGAAATAAAATAAATAATAGTGACCATCATTGAGATCAAGGTTAGAAGTAAAACTTGTCTCACCCTGACCAAATAACGATACAAAAAAAAAACACCAAAAAGAAAAAAAACAAAACAAAACAAAAACAAAAAAATGTAAATAAATAAATTAACTGAGTTAATATTAATGATCATTGGAGCAATTGATTCATGCTACTGAGTAATTAGAAGCTCACATCAGATAAACAGTTTTGCTTTTTTTGGAATATTTTGTTTTGTTAAGTGATGGCTTTAAATCCTTTATATAACATATCAATAAATTTAAATGTGTATGAAGGAAATATTTAAATTGATTCTGAGTAGTATTTCCTACAACTCAAACTTAGAACACAGCATTATGAAAGAAAGGACTACTAATTTTGTTAATCATTTTGGAAGCTTCATTTGGAATATGTTTATATATAGTCTCCAGATATAAAATATGATACAGGTCATGTTATAATATTCATTTTAGGCACGTTTGCCAAGGATTGACAATAGCTAAAGTAATCACTTTCATATTTAATATGTAATAATCATTTACATAAAACTAATACATAAACCAAGTATCATTATGAAGATTAAGGAGTGGAGTTGTATACTGTAAATTAAAAAATATTACCACCACTCTTACAATTTTTAAAAGGATAAATTCAATATAATTTTGATAAGTTTACAGTACAGTATATTTGGATGTACCTTTGGTTTTTTTGTTTTCAGTTTTTCTATTCTTCTGTTGTTAGTTTGTATTTTCGTAAGCAGTTCTTGTTTAGGTGATCTCCTTATTCCTAGGCCCTGCTTAGAATTGTTTTTAAACTTTGTTTCAGCTTCAATGCCCCCTCGCTTTTTAACTCACTCCCTTTAAAAAGCTGAAATTCTACAAGCATCTCATCCTTTAAATGTAACCTCAAAAGCTATCTCTCTCTTTCCGTGGTTTATATATAATATTTTTTCCCTCTGTCTCCCCCCACCCATCACATCTCTCTCTCTTTTTTTCTTCAGGCTGGCCCTAAACTTATATATATATTTTTTTAATTTGTTTGAATTTTAACTTCGTTATTTTCTTTATTTTGCCATTATTATTCTTCTTTTAATTTTTTTTTAGTCAATTTGATTTTATTTTAAATTTTATTTATATAATATATATATATGTAATATGTATATTGTGATTTCTTTTCCTTTGGTACTTGGTTTTTAATATTATTCTATCATTTTAATTTCTTTGTTAACCATTTATATTTCCTTTGTTACTTGTGTTATGTATTGAGGCTCCCTAATGTTTAGCTCCAGCTGGATGGACCACCCTCGTAAAATATTGTTGAAATAAAATAAAATAAAAACACATTTTATAGTTAAGTTTGTTTCATGATGTGTGAAAAACACATACAGCCTCGTGTTGTCTTACCTCTAGTGTGATAGATGATTTTCTTTTTCTCCTTTTTTTGCTGAATGGAGAGAACACACGCCTAATTAATTTCTGGGTTCTCGTTCTTTTAGGCATGTGTGCTGGTGCTGGTGCTGGTAGAGGTGCTGGTAGACGTGCTGGTTGAGGTGCTGGTTCTGGTGCTGGTTGAGGTGCTGGTTCTGGTGCTGGTTGAAGTGCCGGTTCTGCTGCTGGAAGAGGTGAAGGTTCTGGTTGAGGTGCTGGTTCTAGTGCTGGTTGAGGTGTCGATTCAACTCCCTCTGTTTGATTACCTTTCAGTTTTAATTTCTCAGCAACTCTACCTTCTAATTCATTATCATATATCAGCTTAATCCGTTCACACTCAATAAAGATTTAAAATAACAGTGAAATTCATCAAAGCTCAAGTCATAACAAATAACAAAAGGATTTAAAGTTATATTGTTTCTTGTCTTACCATCCATGTCCTCAGTTTCTTTCCACTTACAACCAACATCAGTAGTTTGAAAAGCAGTAGTCAAAACAATTCCATCGGTTGATGGTTCTGCTTCATTAAATCTGTGGAAATAACAGTTTAACACAATTTAGCATTACAAATTGTGTATGTGGGTTGAGTCGAGTGGCCGAGCGGTAAGGCAGGGGCGCCGCTAGCTACAGCTTTAACATCGGCGCTGGTTCCCATGACGAAAACATCTCATCTAAAGCAAACCTGAGTTAAATAGAATAACTCGGGTTTAAGCACATCCTTTTCAATGTTTACATTAGATAAGAGCTAACCTTGATTATCAGGATTAAGGAGCCTCCTGGGGAGCATCCCTAAACAGATTACTAAGCAGTCCTGTCTTACAATATAAAAATCAGTAATTGTTACTGATTTATATATGTTAACCTATGTAATGTAAATATAAATAAGGTACAATGTTTTTAGCAGTTCGATTCACGAAAAACGGCGATTTTGTTGTGCAGGTAGAAATTTGAATAGCCTCTCTATACAGCCAGTGCCATATTTGCATAATGTGAATTGGTGAAGCTCTTCAAAAAAACCGACCATAGAGTGGCTGCAATAACACTGTCCAAAGAGTTGTTTACTGATGATAGGAAAGCCAGTGAATTTGTGCTCATTTCGATGTAAAATTTCGGCTGGGGTTGGTTGGTTTAAGTTTAAGTATTTGCAAGTTGAAAATTTTGATGTTTTGAAATGTTGAGAAACTGTACCCCTTTGTAGTTGTTACAGATAATAAAGATACTTATAATTTGTCATAGAAAACGATGTGGTGGCTTAGCTTGGCCTAACCTAGGCCTAC